AACTTGCAGAGGTGGGATATACTTAGGCTACAAGAAAATGGCTGCGGGTTTGGCTATATATACTCCTAAAGTGTGGTGGTGCCCGATCATATCCCTCTAAGGAAGCCACGTTACCCTGTGGTGCAACGCATAGGGGAGGGGCTTGATGACGTCATAACAGTCGCGGTTAGCTGATACACTGATACCGCACATCAGGGAAGTGGAGGATACCTGTATATGCTCACAAAGTGTAATTTTGGATCCATATGCGCATGATATCAGGTGCAATTGAGCACCTACACACTGTGAGTGGCCATTTTTATGTTTTTAATAAAGCAGTGTGCTTAAAGGATAAAGCACCATTATATGTCCATTTCAAGGGACACATGCGTTTTTTTACCTAACTTTATGTGAGATTAAAAACTCCAGGTAAGAGCACATCTGGTGTTTGGGGTGGGGGATTAAGTTTAGGAAGATATAGAGTTATGGATTTTTTTGAAGTGGAAGAAGCAACACTATTAAGAGACTTTGCAATTAGGATTCTTCACCATATTTCATTACATTTGTTTGTATTCACGTTTTTTTGGGGCATTTAAAGGAAGCGCGGCACTGAATGATTTTGAATGTGATTGCTTAATTCTGAACACAGCTACATCCCTAGTTATAAGAGGGTGTGCACACTTATGCAACCGCTATATTTTAGTTTTTTATGTTTACTTCCCCCCCTCTAAAAGATTTCAGTTTGTTTTTCAATTGAGTTGTACAGTCTATAGGTCACATTAAAGGTGGATAAAGTTCTGAAATTATATATCTTTGTCTCATTTTTTTACATCACAGAAACCTGACATTTTAACAGGGGTGTGTAGACTTTTTATATCTACTGTAGCTGCATCTATTAAATACTTTATGTCTTCTTACTGAATAAAGTTTCCTGTTTTGCAGAGAAGCAGTAAACACGTTGACTGTGCACTGTCTGTTCTGTAAGGCTATATACAGAATTTCTTACAGGTTATGGGCCCAGGCCCAGTCATAGCCGATTATAGTAAATAAGTGCAACATACAGCAACAGAATTTATTATAATTTATTATGCCTTGTTACGTGCTTTGTGGTAAACTGATACTGTATTCGGTTCCGATTGTGGTCCACCACTTCCTATTCTGTCTTTCTATGAAATTTAAACTTAAATAATTTATTTTTAAAAAGTGCCTTAAATTTTGTTTGCTTTTAACTTTCAATTTTGGAATTAATGGACCTTTTCTAATCTTACCTTAAACTGTCTCCTTGCTACGCACTGACTTTCTGAAAACTTAGGGTTAATGCTGTTCTGTGATCTCCACCTTAAACTGATTTTATGCAAAACGTAGTCCTATATCTTTTTGCTTGTTTGTGGTGATTGATTCTCACCTCTTTTGCTTTTCTGTGATCAGAGAATCAATCATCTTTTATGACTTTGACCTGTGTGTGTGTCTGTGTAAGGTTTTGACCAACCTCCCCCCAAATTCATGTGATCCTTATCAGTTCCTAATTGGGGTGGAAAAGAGTTGCTCATTTGATCATCTCCCTATAAATTTAAACCAGCTTATGGGGGAAGTCACAGATGGTGTGTACAGTCGCAGATGGGGCATTTTCTGCTAGAGTGCAAAACAGCAGTTGAACACAGCAGTTTAACTCAAGCAGCAGGAAGATACAACAAAGAGTTCTACTGCACACTGGATGGACTGCAAGCAAACACCCTGGGAAACCTCTCCCATCAGGGGTGGACTGACCATTTGGGAACTGCCTGAGGGCCCGGGGTCAGTAGGGGGCCCAATGAGATACCCCTGGTACCTTTCATAGGTTTTTTTTTTGGGTGTGGTTTGAGTGTGGGCGAGGATACAGGGGCCCCATGATCCTCTATTGCCCGGGGGCCCCATGAGTTTTCAGTCTGCCCCTGTCTCCTACAAGTTTGATTCCTGAAGTCAATCTCCCCGACCCGTACCTTTTACTATGTACCCTTTACTCCTCCTTTTCATATTACTATCCTCTGTTCTCAAAATCTCATTTCTTTACCCCTCTGCTCCACCCCAAAGCTTATACATATCACCTTCACTTCTACCATCTCCCTACTACTGCTCTCATCACCTCCTGCTGATACTTTACTCACCTGCTGACCCAAACACCAGGACAGGAAGGTATGTGCACTCATATACATCCTGCTTCCATCTTATTTTCCTCACTCTCCTTCTAACCTCTGGGGATAGCTCCCCAAACCCTGGTCCTCCAGTATCTCACCCCACACCAGGCACCCGCCTTCTTCCAGGAATAGCTGCAATCCACTCAATTTAATCTCAATCCCCATGCTCTTAAAAACCGCTCTCCCTTGTAATGTACACTCTGGAATGCCCGCACTGTCTCTAATAAGCTCACCTCTGTCCATGACCTTTTTGTCTCCTGCTCCATTAACCTACTAGCAATTACAGAAACCTGGCTTCAAGAATCAGCTTCTGCTTCTACCGCAGCACTTTCCTATGGAGGCCTTCTCTGGACTCACTCACCCAGACCCAGTGGTCGAAAAGGAGGTGGAGTTGGTTTGCTTCTATCCCCACTGAGCACTTTTCAAGTTCTCCCTAACCCTCCCTCTCTATCCTTCTTGTCAGGGATCCGGGTATGACCAGAGATGTGTGGACTGACACAGGGAAATAGCAGGCTTCAAGTAAGGTGTAAAACAATATAATTTATTAAAGGCTATGCAATACACACAAACGCAGTGCAAACCGCGTTCGGTAGCTAAACGGACAGACAAGGTACAAAGGAGCAGGCAGAAGAGGAGTCAGGAATAGCCGGGGTCGGTACGGGCAGAGTTCAAGCAGTGCCAGAGTCCAGCAGGAGCCTCAGGCAGGCAGGAGGCAGGGCACAAGGGAGCAATACACCAAGGCACTGACTGCAGGCCTGGTCCTGCTTTAACCATTTCAATACCGTGCAATTTTACACCTTCCTGCCCAGGCCAGTTTTCAGGTTTCAGCGCTCTCACACTTTGAATGACAATTGCGCGGTCATACAACACTGTACCCAAACTAAAATTTTATCATTTTCTTCACACAACTAGAGCTTTCTTTTGGTGGTATTTAATCACCGCTGGGGTTTTTGTTTTTTGCTAAATTAACAAAAAAAGACCAAAAATTTTGAAAAAAAAAAAACACATTTTTCTTTGTTTCTGTTATAAAAGTTTACAAATAAATAATTGTTCTTCATAAATTTAGGCCGAGATGTATTCTGCTACATGTCTTTGGTGAAAATAACCCAAATTAGGATGTATTATTTAGTTTGTAGGAAAGTTATAGAGTTCACAAACTATGGTATAGATCTGAATATTGATCAATCCTGAAGTACTGACGGCCAATCTAATTTCTTGAGGTCCAAGAATGTCAGAATAGTACAGATATCCCCCAAATGACCCCTTTTTGCAGAGTAGACAGTCCGACGTACTTCATAAGAGGCATGGCGAGTTTTTTGAAGTTGTATTTTTTTGTCATAATTTTTCGGAAAATTAAAAAATTAAAAAAATTATTTTCACTATTTTTTTTTTACATACTGTCACCAGTGCAGTACAGCGTCATCATATAACTGGCATGGCGGTGAACAGGGACACTGACTGGTGACAATATGAAAATAAAAAAATATATATATATATATTTTTTTTATTTTATATTTTTAATTTTTTATTACATTTTTTTTTATTTTTTTTTAAGATTTTTTTTTCATATTTTACTATGACCAAAGTAGTACAATGTTATCATAGTAACATTGTACTACTTTGGGGAAGTGATCAGTATTTTTTTTTTTTTTTTTTTTACACAATTTGCTTATAGCAAAGAATTACTTTGCTATAAGCAAGCATTTACCTGAATGAAATCGATTCATTCAGCTTTTTTTTTTTTTTGTGCTTAGCTGTGATTTGGTCACAGCTAATCACGTGACATGTGCATGTGACCTGCTGTGACCATTCACAGCTGGGCACTAGTATACAATGGATGGCATGAATGAAGCCATCCATTGTATACAACTGTCATGTGACCTGCTGTGATTGGTCACAGCAGGTCACATGGTACCAGCAACGGGAGCCGGTACTCGGATCTGTCATCGGCCGTGTCCGAGGTACACGGCCGGTGACAGATCGCGCTGCTGCGCCCGCTCTGCATTAGCGCAAACTGCGCATGTGCGGGAGCACGCCAAATGGCGTGCACCCGGAATGCAGGAACACATTTGAAGCCGCCAAACGGCAAATGGTTAATACACCTCCTGCAATCAGCCTCAGGTGATGGCCTGATTGCAGGAGTGAGACACTGGCTGCTGAGAGCACCCGCTGGCCAGCACTGGTACTGCAGCCCACAAGGCAGGTAAGCCCCAGCACTACCAGAGATAAGACCATTCCTGAAAGTACTCCCCCCCCCCTCAAGGAGCGGCCTCAGGACGCTCCAAACAGTCCGTAATGGCCCAAATGTTCCACCGCCTGGGTCCGGTAACTGGCTGGACATCCCACTGCAGGAATCAAGCGATTGGCTGGGTCTCCTGCTGATAGGCCTATCTTTTTGCAGGAGACCGCAGGAAGGCAGGTTGCTGGACACAGGATTTCCAGAAGCAGGCTGGGCAGCAGGCGGAGGCACGTCAGGCTGGGCAGCAGGCGGAGGCACGTCAGGCTGGGCAGCAGGCGGAGGCACGTCAGGCTGGGCAGCAGGCGGAGGCACGTCAGGCTGGGCAGCAGGCGGAGGCACGTCAGGCTGGGCAGCAGGCGGAGGCACGTCAGGCTGGGCAGCAGGCGGAGGCACGTCAGGCTGGGCAGCAGGCGGAGGCACGTCAGGCAGGGCAGCAGGCGGAGGCACGTCAGGCTGGGCAGCAGGCGGAGGCACGTCAGGCTGGGCAGCAGGCGGAGGCACGTCAGGCTGGGCAGCAGGCGGAGGCACGTCAGGCTGGGCAGCAGGCGGAGGCACGTCAGGCTGGGCAGCAGGCGGAGGCACGTCAGGCTGGGCAGCAGGCGGAGGCACGTCAGGCTGGGCAGCAGGCGGAGGCACGTCAGGCTGGGCAGCAGGCGGAGGCACGTCAGGCTGGGCAGCAGGCGGAGGCACATCAGGCTGGGCAGCAGGCGGACCGGGCCATCAGGCGAGGGCAGCAGGCACCGGGCCATCAGGCGAGGAAGCAGGCACCGGGCCATCAGGCGAGGAAGCAGGCACCGGGCCATCAGGCGAGGAAGCAGGCACCGGGCCATCAGGCGAGGAAGCAGGCACCGAGGCATCAGGCACGACAGCGGGCACCGAGTCACCTGGCACGACAGCGTGCACCGAGCCATCTGGCACGACAGCGGGCACCGAGTCATCTGGCAGAACAGCGGGCACCGAGTCATCTGGCAGAACAGCGGGCACCGAGTCATCTGGCAGAACAGCGGGCACCGAGTCATCTGGCACGACAGCGGGCACCGAGTCATCTGGCAGAATAGCGGGCACCGAGTCTTCTGGCAGAAAAGCAGGCACCGAGTCACCAAGCTTGACAGCGGGCACCGAGTCATCTGGCACGACAGCGCACACCGAATCATCTGGCAGGACAGCGGGCGCCGAGTCATCTGGCAGAACAGCGGGCACCAGGTCACCAAGCTCGCCAGCAGGCACCGAGTCATCTGGCAGGACAGCGGGCACCGAGTCATCTGGCAGAACAGCGGGCACCGAGTCATCTGGCAGGACAGCGGGCACCGAGTCATCGGGCAGGACAGCGGGCACCGAGTCATCGGGCAGGACAGCAGGCACCGAGGGTCATCAGACAGGACAGTGGGACAGACAAGACAGCGGGCACTGGGGGTCATCTGGACAGGACAGTGGGCTCGACAGCGGGCACTGGGGCATTCAGGCTGGACAGCGGGCATCGGTCACCGGGGACATCTGGCTCGACAGTCGCACCGGGACAGCGGGCATCGAGTCGTCCGGCTCACGACAGCGGGCATCGAGTCATCCGGCAGGACAGCGGGCATCGAGTCGTCCGGCAGGACAGCAGGCACGAGTCGTCAGGCTGGACAGCGGGCGTCAAGTCGTCCGGCTGGATAACGGACAGCGGGCAACGGACACCGGGGGCGGTCCGGACACCGGGGCGTCCGGCTGGATAACGGACACCGGGGCGTCCGGCTGGATAACGGACACCGGGGCGTCCGGCTGGATAACGGACACCGGGGCGTCCGGCTGGATAACGGACACCGGGGCGTCCGGCTGGATAACGGACACCGGGGGGCTGGATAACGGACACCGGGGGTCCGGCTGGATAACGGACACCGGGGCGTCCGGCTGGATAACGGACACCGGGGCGTCCGGCTGGATAACGGGACACCGGGGCGTCCGGCTGGATAACGGACACCGGGCGTCCGGCTGGATAACGGACACCGGGGCGTCCGGCTGGATAACGGACACCGGGGCGTCCGGCTGGATAACGGACACCGGGGCGTCCGGCTGGATAACGGACACCGGGGGGCTGGTCCGGGGCTGGATAACGGACACCGGGGGGCGTCCGGCTGGATAACGGACACCGGGGCGTCCGGCTGGATAACGGACACCGGGGGCGTCAGGTCATCTGGCTGGAAAGCGGGCATCGGGTCATCAGGCTGGATAACGAGCATTGGGTCATCATAGGATTGTTAAGCTGGGTAGCGGGCACCAGATCATCAGGCTGGATCATCAGGCTGGATAGGATCATCAGGCTGGGTAGCTTACACTGGGTCATCAGGCATCAGGCTGAACAGCGGGCACCGGGGCACCAGGCTGGACAACAGAAGGCGGGTTCTCAGACAGCAGGCTGACCGGTTTGGATACTGGCAGGATGGTACTGGTTGGAAAGAATTTTCGCTTCTTCTTGGGTTTAGTTACTGGAGCACTGCAAGTAAATGCAGGGCTGTAAATGGAGGGAGCAGCTAAAGACAGAGAAGAGCTGGAGGATGGAACAGAGAACAGGAGGGAGCAGTTTCTACAGAGGACTTCTTTACAGGGTTAAAGGCAGGATAGGTGCAGCGAGTGGGAACAGGGTACTGACATGTGGTTGATAGCAGGGTATACTGGGCTGGAACTGGGGGTGCTGTGGGAAATGGAGGAAGAGAGCCTTGAGCAGAGAAATGATTAGAAGCAGGACTGGGTTGTTGCAAGCTGACTGAGGCTGGGTGTAACAAATCTGACCATGACTGTAGTACTGGTTGAACAAAGCTCAGCATACACATAGCCTGTCTGACCAAAGACTGCACTGCGTTTATACAATCCACTAGCACATGTTGTGAACATGCTGAATAATGCTCCAAGAAGCAATCCGGATCATCCGCCAACAACCATACCAGTGATTCTACTTGATCCGTACTGAATGGTGGAAAAAAGTAATTCCTGCTTTCAGGGGTACTAGATGAAGCCAACTCAGCACAAGCCTGGAACAATGGCTGCACCTCAGAGAACTCCATGCCCTGATCTACTAGGAAATGAGCGACCCACATGCACTCTAGCAGCTGATCCCTGGCATACACCTTCAGAGTCTGATAGGCATATTCTCTGTCATCTAAGACTAGTAGATACAAGTACACAACCTCCTCAGGATGCATCCTTTACAACAACAAGCCAAGATGGCTTCCCTGTGCACTTCTGGTCAGGACTGGCCTTGGTGTAATGTCAGGGATCCGGGTATGACCAGAGATGTGTGGACTGACACAGGGAAATAGCAGGCTTCAAGTAAGGTGTAAAACAATATAATTTATTAAAGGCTATACAATACACAAAACGCAGTGCAAACCAAACTAAACTAATATAAATATGTACAACAAAGTGCAAACAAAACCCAAACTTAACTGATATAAATATGTATGAAGCACAAACGTAGTCAGGCAGGTTGGTCGATAGCTAACGAGCAGACAAGATACAAACGAGCAGGCAGAAGAGTGGTCAGGAAAAGCCGGGGTCAGTACGGGCAGAGATCAAGCAGTGTCAGAGTCCAGCAGGAGCGTCAGGCAGGAGGCAGGGCACAAGGGAGCAATTCACCAAGGCACTGACTGCAGGCCTGGTCCTGCTTTAACACACCTCCTGCAATCAGCCTCAGGTGATGGCCTGATTGCAGGAGTGAGACACTGGCTGCGGAGAGCACCCGCTGGCCAGCACTGGTACTGCAGCCCACAAGGCAGGTAAGCCCCAGCACTACCAGAGATAAGACCATTCCTGACACTTCTCTTCTTTCGAGACTCACTGAATTTGGCTGTTTTCTCCCATTTCTCTGAGGATTGCAGTGATCTACCTCCTGGATCGGTGTCCCGCTTTCTTTATGACTTCTCTGCTTGGCTACCCTACTTTCTCTCCTCTGTAATACCCACTATCATTCTTGGAGATTTTAACATCCCATTTAATGTGAACAACCCAGTTACATCCCAACTTTTTAACCTAACCTATTCTTTTGCCTTAGCTCAATGGACATAGTCCTCCACTCACTCTAATGGGAATACATTAGACCTTTTCTCTCCCATCTTTGCACTCCCTACAACCTCACAAACACCCCCTTTCCTCTCTCTGATCACAATCTCATCACCTTCATAGTGTCCTCATCTTTAAGCACTTATCCCTCCAAGCAGCAAACAATTACCCGCAGAAACCTTCACGATTTAAACCCTTCTCAACTGACCGCCTTTATGACAGAATCTCTCCCCTGTCCTGCCCTGACCTGGCCACTGCTGTCTACAACAGTCACTTTCATCCACACTAGACTCACTTGCTCCTCTAACACGAAGTATCAGGCCCCGACCGTTACAACCTTGGCAGACTGACGACACCAGAAATCTTAAACAACATAGTCGTGCGCTGGAGCGATTGTGGCGTAAAACCAAATCTCAGCACGCATTAACCCTATATAAATCTGATTTCTTAACATACAGTTGCAAGAAAAAGTATGTGAAACCCCTTGGGATTACGTGGAGTTTTGCATGAATTGGGCATAAAATGTGCTCTGAACGTCATCTAAGTCACAACAATAGAAGAACACAGTCTGCTGAACGTAATACTACACAAACATTAGATGTTGCCATGGTTTCATTGCACATAACATGTAAACATTCACAATGCAGGGAGGAAAAAGTATGTGAACCTTTGGACTTAATAACTGGTTGACCCTCCTTTGGCAGCAATAACCTCAACCAAACATTTCCTGTAGTTGCAGATCAGACTTGCACAACGATCTGGAGTAATTTTGGACCACTCCTCTTCACAAAAACTGTTTCAGTGTAGCAATATTCTTGGGATGTCTGGTGTGAATCGCTCTCTTAAGGTCATGCCGCAGCATTTCAATCGGGTTGAGGTCAGGACTCTGACTGGGCCACTCCAGAAGGTGTATTCTGTACTGTTGCAGCCATTGTTTTGTTGAATTACTTGTATGCTTTGGGTCATTGTCCTGTTGCATCACCCATCCTCTGCGGAGCTTCAGTTGGCGGACAGATGGTCGTACGTTTTCCTGCAAAATGTCTTGATAAACTCTGGAATTCATTTTCCCATCAATGACAACAATGCGTCCAGGCCCTGAGGCAGCAAAGCAGCCCCAAACTATGATGCTCCCTCCGCCATGTTTTACAGTGGGGATGAGGTTTTGATGTTGGTGTGCTGTGCCTTTTTTTCTCCACACATAGTGTTGTGTGTTCTTCCCAAACAACTCAATCTTGGTTTCATCTGTCCACAGTATATTTTGCCAGTAGTGCTGTGGAACATCCAGGTGCTCTTTTGCAAACTTCAAACGTGCTGCAATATTCTTTTTGGACAGCAATGGCTTCCTCCGTGGTGTCCTCCCATGTACTCCATTCTTGTTTAATGTTTTCCTTATTGTAGATGTGTCAACAAAAATGTTAGCATGTGCCAGAGATTTCTGTAGGTCTTTAGCTGACACTCTGGGATTCTTCTTTACCTCATGCAGCATTCTGCTCTGTGCTATTACAGTCATTTTTACAGGACGACCACTCCTAGGGAGAGTAGCAACAGTGCTAAACTTTCTCCATTTGTAGACAGTCTGTCTTACCGTGGACACATGAACATCAAGGCTTTTGGAGATGCTTTTGTAACCCTTTCCAGCTTCATGCAAGTCAACAATTCTTGATCGTAGGTCTTCTGAGAGCTCTTTTCTGCGAGGCATGGTTCACATCAGACAGTGCTTCTTGAAACCAGTAAACCCAAAACAGATGTGTGTTTTTTAAGGGCAGGACAGCTGTCAGCAACACATCCAATATCATCACACTGACTGGAGTCAAGGTTGGCTCACTCCTGGCTCCAATTAGCTCTGGGAGAAGTCATTAAGCTGGGGCCTCACATACTTTTTCCTCCCTGCACTGTGAATGTTTACATGTTATGTTCAATTAAACCATGGCAACATCTAATGTTTGTGTAGTATTATGTTCAGCAGATTGTGTTCTTCTATTGTTGTGACTTAGATGACGTTCAGAGCACATTTTAGGCCCAATTCATGCAAAAATCCACGTAATCCCAAGGGGTTCACATACTTTTTCTTGCAACTGTAC